TACCAGGCTGGTGCCAAAGTGGATGATCCTGTACAACAGGTGTTCAATGGTCAAGATGTAGAAGTCTGGCCACGTATTTCATGGAAACCAAAATGGGGTTTGACTTTTGCTGAGATTAAAAGCAAAGTTCGTGAAAATTGTGCCATCTCTCAAAAGTCTACAATGGTCATCAGGGGCCGTAATGTCTTTCTTGAAGATCTATCCTTGGATGGAGCTCTTGTCATCAACTCTGTTGATGACGCAGAGGTAGGTATGCCTTATAAATTGATCAAAGATGCCTAATGACTAAATTCTTCCTCTCTTTGTTGAATAATCTTTCACCATTTTTTATTTTGCCGCTGTTGTCTTGAAATTTCTTGTATTTTAGAATCACAAGAAATGTACTTGAAAATTATATTTGGCTTTCATGACTCAAGTATATCGATACATTTTTATTCAACAAAATTACACTTGAAAGCTGTTATTTGCATCGTTTATCACAGAATTTCCCATGTGTTATTTGACCTGGCCCTGCATTGCCCTGCATGTAGATTTGGAAGTCACTTTTAGTCTTATATAAGGATTCTAACCAGTAATGATATTGCTCATCCATAGGTGAAAGTAGGAGGATCCATACAAAACAAGGGTTGGGTGCTTGAGAGCGTAGACTATAGAGATACTTCCATACCTGAAGAAATAAGGACCAGAGGTTTCAGAATCCACAAAATAGAGCAGCTGGAGAAGAGTTATAATGAGTCTGGCAAATTCATCTTGAAGCCATGAAGGTCAACTTATACTAGATTCTGGCCTTCATTTTTAAAAAAAATAATAACAATAATAATAATGAACTAATGCAAAAGAGAAAATTTTTTTATTTATTTACCTCTTGAAAATATTTTGCTCTGGTTGTTTCATAGTTAGGTAAGCAAAATAGTGTTGCTAGAAATAAAGAAGTGTGATCGGCTAAGTTTTATATGAATTTTGTTACTCCTTAAAACACTCTGTTTTCCCTGTTTGTAAATGCTCTTCAATTGTTTATTCTCATCTGTGGATGAATCACAATAGAAATGCTTCATCCAGAAAATTCCATCCCATTTTTTTACCGATTCAACTCAAAACGCGGTTCAATCATTTTGTTTTTTAAATAATTGTTTTCACGATACACGTTACCACAAAGAGAGTCATTTTAAATTTATTTATTTATTTTTGTTTTTATAAACCTCTCATTATCTAGTAATTATATTAAATTTTAACTAATCTGAAATTAAATTGTGTCAAATTTTATAAAGAGAAGTTTTTTTGATACTTATTTTTTTGTTCACTAATCTCAAATTTAAAATTTTATTTAAAAAAATCTAATTCTTTTCATTTGAATTAATAAGTAATTGGTATTTTACTGATGGTCTAAATTATACCTACCTGGCTAGTTGACACCATAAAGTTACATCAATATAATTTAATTGGCTTAATTTAATTATTAATTTATTAACTATCACCTTGATTTCATTTTAGTCTAGAAACTATATTTTATTTTTAAGTGATCTATTAACTTTCAGATTCATTTCAATTTTATTTATATTAACTTTCAGATTCATTTCAATTTCATCTACATGATTATCTTTGACGGAAAATTTACTGTTAGAGAATAGTTAGTCCTCTAATTATATTTATTTTGATCTTTTAGTCCTCAAATTTATATTTATTGTAAAAACAACTTTTATACTTAAAATTATTATTTTTAGGCTCTGATACTAAATTTTTATTCAGGTTTTCAGAACTTAACTCAGACTACTACTAACTAATGAATAGCTGATATGTTAAGCTTAATTAGTGTGGAATTAGATCTATTAGACTTCTAACAAAAATAATCACTTTCTAGTTGTGTCTAAATCTTATAAAATTTTTTATCTATATCACTTTTTAGTTGTAGAATTATTCTGTTATACATTTTTACGATTTGATTACAAATTTTTCAGCGATTGCTTTTAATGTCTTTAATAGACCTTATTTCTTCTTTTATTTCTTTCAATTTTCTAGAGTTTTTAACATTATTTATTCTTTCTTTAATAGAATCAAATTCTTGAAAAAGAGATTTTCTCATTTCTTTAATTCTTCTTAGGGTATTTTTATTAATTGTTTCTATTTTTAGAATATTATCAGTTATTCATTAGTTAGTAGTAGTTTGAATTAAGTTTTGAAAACTTGAATAAAAATTTAGTATCAGAGCTTAGAAATAATAATTTTAAGTATAAAAACTGTTTTTACAGTAAATATAAATTTGAGGACTAAAAGATCAAAACAAATATAGTTAGAGGATTAACTGTTCTCTAATAAGTTTTCCGTCAAAGATAACCAGATAAAATTGAAATGAATCCGAAAGTTAATAGATCATTTAGAAATAAAACATAGTTTCTAGACTAAAATGAAATCAAGATGATAGTTAATAGATTAAAAATTGAATTAACCCTAATTTAATTAGAAGCCAAATTTTTTCTGTATTACACCAAACTTCTCCGTGTTTCACCCACTATTACCTGCCCAGAAAGAGACCGGCGTCAGAATCCAATTTGGAATGAAAGACAAAATTCCAGGCAAAAAAAAGTCTTCCCAAGAGGAAACTATCTTGATTTTTCCTATGAAACTTCTTGGTACATTCGGATAATACCTTTCGACGACCGTAGATTTGCATCCGTGGTACGAAATGGAGCAAATGACTTCCCTGAGCTTTTATATAAACACGCATATTACCTCCTGATGCATGCAGTATAGCCATTTGTGCAAGTACTACAAATTCCGATTCTTTATATAGTCATTGATCCACAGTTAGTCTAGCCAGGCAAAAATGTCTGCCCTTAGCAGGAGCGACTTGCACCGGATTTTTGAGATGATAGACAAGAACGGGGATGGCCTGGTGAGCTTGGAGGAGCTCAACTGGCTCCTGGAGAGAATCGAAGTCCAGTTTAGTCAGGAAGAGCTTGAGTCCCTCGTGGGGAAGCAAAGCCTAAGCTTTGACGAATTCTTGTTCTTCCATGACACCACCATATTAAACGGTAATTACCAGGAGGAAGGCGAAGAAGGTGACCTTGTGAAGGCGTTTAAGGTGTACGACTTGAACGGGGACGGAGTCATTTCCTCAGAGGAGCTGCAGAGCGTGCTGGGGAGGCTAGGGTTGTGGGATGAAAGTAGCGGAAAAGATTGTAGAAGAATGATTTATGCGTATGATACTAATCTGGACGGGGTGCTGGATTTTGAGGAATTCAAGAACATGATGTTGCATACGGTGTCTTAATTCAAATATATGAAAGAGATAAATTAGAGTGCCATGATTAAATTATACATTATTGACTATGTATTATACTATCAGCAATATTTTGGAACCACGTCTCTTATTCTTCTTTGATATAAAAATAAAATATATCTTATTTTTTGGTTTAATTTAGTTATTTTAATTTAATTTATACATAAAATTTAATTAAATAATTTTATATAATTAGTTTTATTTATACTTATTTTTTGTTAAATATTTTTATTTACATTAAACAATTTAATTATTATTTATTTATTATATAAAATTATCAAATTAATTTAAAAATCAAGGCAGGGTATTTCTAAGAACTTCCAAAAGAATCCAGAATTTTGAATCTTTGATCGTTGACTTTGAACTCTTGCCGTACGGATTGTGTTAAATTAGTCTTCCTCCAATTGGAAAAGGACTGAATGGACTGAGGACTTGTAATATGCCTTATTCCCCACGTCCCCTAGAATTTTTTAAGATTCGAGAGAGAGGAAATATCAAATTTCGTTCTGCAAGGGGTGTGCCAATGACTACCGGTTTAATTGTTTTGTTAAGATTATTAAATTTTGTTGAAAAAATATTAATTCAATTTAATTTAATTATTAAAAATAATTAATAATTAATAAAATATTAATATTATTTCTTAATAAATTAAAATAAATTTCTAAACTAATATTTTTAAATATTATAATTAATTATCTATTTAAAAAATTATAAATATCAATTAAATTTTAATAGTCTTAACAAAAAAAAAAAAACAGTAACCATAACCACACCATTTTTTCAAGATATGTCACTAATCAAATACAAATTAATTTCAAAATTAATAAAAAATAAATGTAAAATATTATCTATATTATTAAAATGACGTAAATTGAATGCCACAACTAATTTAATAACTTTTTAGATTAAATTTCGTATAAACTCTCAAAAACTCACCAATGGAGTTGTTCTCCACTTATATCTCTTGTGGGATTTTGGAGCATTTACGAAAAACGAAAAAAACTCATTATTGTGCGAAAGGGTTTATGCATCTTTTCAAAACTATAGGGATAAAGTGAATCTATACTAAACCAGAAGGGCAAGATGCAATATCCCTAACTAAAATTGAGTTTGTCTAATTTTACTGTTTAAAACCGTTAATATTTGTTAGTTGAATTTAACATATTGAAATCAATAAGGATATTATAACTAATTATAGAAAGAAAAAAAAATATAATTAATTATTGTTGAGGTAAGGGGTTAATGAGTCAGCAGTAATTATGACGTGGAAGCTAAGTAGAATGCCCCTTACAGAAGGTGAAAAGGGTCCTTTTAACTTACACCCGTTTCATATGCAAAAGACTATGTACCACAAGTTGTCTTCATTTCTCTTATTCTCTAGTAAGGATGAACTACAATTTTTCTCCAGTAGAATTTGGAATAGAGCTTCCCTAGCCAAGTCAAAAGGGCAAGGGGATGACAATGTTCTCAAGATCATGATTACATAACCACCAAAATAAATGAATAAGTGTTGAGCAATCAGATGCCTCCAATAAAGTCTCAAAATGAACCTTCTCCAGCCAAGGCAGAAGAGTTAGAGGAGCTGATGCCTCCAAATGATGATTATACAACCATGACAAAAAGACAAATGGGTGAGTTGCATTGTAACTAGAGTAGCTTAGACAGAAAATGTAAATATCAACTTGTACAATAAATGGGCATATCTAAATGCAATACATTGTAGCATATAAGAAATAAAGAGTAGAAGTGCCCTCAACTAGCTTCAAAAAATGTATGAACTTCTAAAATAAGAAACCTTTAAGTTGACGTTCAAAGTATAATAATTTCCTTCTCTCAATTTATGCATACAAAAAGAAATAAACTAGAAAGTAGTGATGGGAAAAGGAAGAATGACCATTGTCAAGGCTTTTAATGGAGGACTTGATCTCGTATGTTAATGTTCGTATGTTAATGTTAAATTTATTGCTAATTGATCCTCTAATACTTAAGAAAATTAACTTAGAATCTCAAGTTGTGATGTGAGATCTTTTGGCCATAATGAACTGTATGTCTGGGGAGTAATTTGTGTGGTTAGAAGTATAGAAAATAATGTGGAAAATGAGGTCTTTGGGGAGTATATACATGTCTGTCAGCTTAGAATGAATAGGAAATAAGTTGTAGCAAGTCTGGGAATTTTAGTGAGAGAGTTGAAAGGTTGAAAATGAAGATGTGAGAGTAAAAGTGTATTTGATGCCTGAAGAGTGAATTGTCTGTGTAGAATAAATGATAATAATGTAAAAAATGAAGAAAAAAATATCAAATATATATAGGTAGTGGTATTTTGATAATTTTTAGTTTGTAGAGCTACAATGGCCTAGCAATCCAATGGTTGAAGATTCATTAATATGGAGGATAGCTGTTGAATTTTGGGATGATCTTGGCACTTCTAACAAGATCGATGTGTAAGTGTAATTATGATTTCTCTAATGTTTCAGTGAAGGATTGTTAGTTCGTTGGAGCCTTCCCCTTCTTGGCAATTTCGTATCCATATGTAATACCAATTTTGGGATGCAATTGAGTGCTGCCGGCATTTCTCCCTCTATCCAAGATCTTGAAGATTTTCGAAACAAATTGTAATCTTTTCACCAACTTCCAATGTGGTGTAACTT